TTTATTAATCTTTGTTCAAATGTGCTCCACTAACTTCTGAATGCTTTTCCCCAGTGGACTAAGGATGGCACTACCTGTGGTAGACAGATGCACAGTTCACAATGGACTGAGCCTCATCATTGAATGTGCTCTTTAGGTACTGCCAAAGATGACATGTCTGGCGCCAGAAGGTGATGCAGTGGTTAAGGCGCTGGACTCCCACATGGCCAACTACAGTCCAAGTCCTGGAACTGGTGGCCTGAGAATCACCCTGGACATGTATGTGTGTGCCCATCCCCACAAGGAGTGATTTTTCAACTTTCCCTGTCACTGCCTCTCTGTGTCTCTCTGGTGAGCACATGTGCCTATGGCAAAACAAAAATAAAAACCTTAAAGGAAAAAAAAATTAAAAGAGGAGACCAGCGGATGGTGTAAGGGTTAACATTGTGGATTCCCACGTGGCTGACTGTGGTTCGAGTACCAGAATTGGTGACTTGCTTTCTCACTTTCCTTCTCTTTCTCTCTCTGATGAGCACACATGCCCTTTAAAGTATTTTAAAAAATAAAAGAATGACATCTCTAAAGTAAGAAACAAAGCTACAATGCTTATTTGTGAGCACTGACAGGTCTTCTGCCTATTCTGACAATACAGATTACAGAATATAATGAAAAGAATAAACGAATACAAGTAGCAAGAGTTGACACCATATGAAGTTAGATCTGAAAGAGGACAGAGTGCAGGGGGAAAAAATCTGATTTTGGTGAGATGGATGGCATCCACTGGTTGGATGGCAGTGATATCACATGTAAGGGAACAGAGGGAGATGCACTTTTCATTTTGGATTTATTGATCTTCACATGCTGTTTCGGTAACAAAAAAAAGGAGATTTCAACGAGAGTTGAAGGTAAGTTGAAAGGTTGGAAAATGTTACGTACTGTAGATTCAGGAGTGCACACCACAGAAGGTGGATTAGTCAGAAATACAGGGAGAGAATGGGGCCCAGCACAGAGCCCCTGGATGAGGCATCTTAGGCAAGAAGACAGCAGAATTCAGGGAATTGGGGAGGAAAAAAAATCATCAGTGAGACTAACAGAAACTGAGAACTTTCAGGAGGTTATTAATAGTCACTTCAAATATGGCAGAAGATTCAAGTAAAGCAAAGGCTAGAGAACAGTCACGGGGTTTAACTATAACTTAGGCTACTGGTGGGTTTTCAAAGCACTCAACTAAACCTACTTTAATTCACTTGAGTGGGTTAAAGTATAAACAGAAAAGCAGGAATATTTGCCAGAAAATATAACTTTGAATCTTGGTTCTGAGAGAACAGAGGGCCTCCTAAACTTCCTTAGTACTATGTGTGTGGGCGCCCTGAGCCTCTCCATAGAAAATACCTATGAAAAGTAGGTTCTCAAAGCTCTGAATAGTCTACTGCAAAACCCATACATACACATAAGCAGAGAGGAATGTATGGAAAGCTACCTAAGAAACTGTGGTGAGTCAATTCTCCAATATTGTAGGTTTTATCCGTGAATCAACTATGGCCTTTTCAAAAGTTGTCTGGGACTACACTGTTTTAGCAACTCCGGAGAAACCTTAAATGCAAGTTTTGCTTTAGCACTAGGTACATTCCACTCCTGTATGCTGAAAGTGGTTATTTCTAGGTTGGTACTAAAAAACTTTCCACTATGCCATGTACGTGACTGATGAAGACCACGTCTCAGTGTGCAAGCAAGTCTCTATGGCACACGAGAACTGGGCATGTTCTCTTCTCAGGTTCCATTATGTCTACCTTTTTGTCATGCCATGAGACCAGAAGCAAATTTGCTCTCAACTTTATATAACCTACCTCTATCTGTATGCCAACTTTATCTTACTAATATTTCCCTAAATCTGATCATTAATTTATTTTTCCACTTTAATTAATGTACCCATACCACAGAATTCATAAAATACAATTAAGGTGAAGGATAAATAAACAACTCACCAGAGATTTATTCCTTTTTTTTTTTTTTTGGTTGCTCTTGGAAACGGGTAAGAGGATTTTGTCATAGCTGACAGATTATGGAAATACACTGGAATCATTAGAGAACTGGTATGGTTCGGTACTAAGTTCTTTGCTGACCTGCTAAAAACGCTTGACACATTAGATGGAGAAGAAAAAGAAAGAGAGCGAAAGGAATAAGAAAAAGAAAAAAAGTTTCCCTCTACTTGAGTTCCATAAGCAGGAAAGGGCAACAAAATGGATATATTCACAACGTATTAAGGGGTAGAGATACACACAATTAATTACCGAGTCAATGAGAACATGCATTCTGATTTAATAACAACTAATGTTTCCTAAAGAAATAATTTAACACTTGAAACCAAGGACAGAATTATCTTCCCTAAAATTCAAGTTATATTAACAGGAATACACATGGCCATTTAAACTATTGCTAACATGAACTCCCTATGAACATCTCTACTACAACACCTCTTGCTATCATATACTGTTTCATGGAAAGTTTACATGCCGTAAGCTGATACTTTCCAACCATGAATAAACAGGAAAAAATAGAACATGGTAAATTTTTCTTTCTCTTTTTTTTTGCTATCAGGCGCTTGTACTTCCTGGAGAGAGACAGAGAGAAAGGTAAAGTGAAAAATCACCCCTCAGGAGGGATAGTCAGGCTATCCCATCTTCTATCCTCTTCTTGGGTTTTTGGGCATGAATGCACATGCACCCGGCGTGATTTTCAAGCTGCTGGGTCCAGAACTTGAACCACGCAGTTGGCCAAGTGGGATTCAGCTGCCTTAACCATCATACCACAGGCTGGCCCTATAACATACACTTCTTGCTATACACTGTTCAACTAATGGTTCCAAATGACACACTTCATGCAGCTATACACTTATATAATCTCTTCCAATAATAACCTGGGTCCTGCCATCTGTTTGGTCAGCAGGACAACAACAAATGTAACACAAACATAGGTTGCAAAGTACTTGCCCACAGGTGCTTGCCTTCTTGGACAGAAATAATATTGTGATGAATCCCGAGGCTGACGTGCAAAGGACCTCACCAAAAGTCAGCATGAACCAAAAACTAGGCATGGGAATGAAGCCATCTTAAACCAACCAGCCTTGGTCAAGACATTGGGTGATGAAAGTCTCATGTGTGATCCCTGGCCACATCAGCGTAAGTCCCTACTGAGCCCAGTCCAAATGCCAATCCACAGGAATGGGATCAAATAAAATGATTCTTTTATTAAGCTAATACATTTTTGTCAATTCATTACACAGCAAACTAACACATTTAAGGTCCTGGAACTTAATGACTAACATACAACACATTGGGAATTGGAAAAAAAAAAGTGTTTAATTACATGAGAAATACAATAACCAGTTCTTCATAAACACATGTAAAATTTCTGAAAAACAAAAAAGGTCAAGCAATGGACTGCGGGGTGGTTAAAGTCACTGAAATCAAACAAAGCAACCGTCTGGAGATCATAAAAATATGGTTTGAATTTATTTGATCATAACATGAATTTTTTATTTATATGCAGTCACTGTACTGTGTTTAATTTGTATTTAAGTGGTGTTTGGAGCAGAAGTGCAATGAAATCTAATTTTTGTGTTTTAAAGAATGTAAAATGTTTCTATTTGTTTCTGCATTATAGATGACTTTAAGGAACAGATTATTGACATTAAGTGAGAAACATTTGTGTTATTAACCTTTTGAGATCATATAGTCCACTACCATATAGTCCAGGATAACAAGAGGCACGTTTAAAGCAAAACATTTGAAAGCAACGTTTATTCTAAGCTGACTTCAGTATCCCAAAAATGATCTCAAAAACAGCTGTTTTGAGTTAATTGCAGCAAAGTGGGTAACTCCAGCCAAAAAGTCAGGACCTTTGGCATTTACATAGCAGGAGACCCTCCACAGGTCACATATCTGCTCAAACCCAATGATTAAACTCAATCTTATAAGGCAGAAATACCTTCCCCCAGCTACCAAGGAAAAAAATTATTTAGATAGAGAGATCATCAGCATATCCCCAGATGCTAAACTTGATGTCAGATCAGATTCCAGAGTCTGGAAACAATCAATGCGAAGGGAAGCCACAGGAGCTTTAGAGAGCACGCTAACTAGACCCTCTCACGAGTGACGGGTAATTCCCCATAGATCCCACCTTCGCGACCCCTCTAAGGGTCACCTCCTAGGTCCTTGCCTACTCTCCTCGACACGACGGCCCTCTCCCGTCCAACCTCATCCAGAAGGCGACAGCTTGAGGAGCAAGTGGCATTGCTCACATATTGTTTCACTGCAGGCCGTGGGGCCAATAACCCTGTGAGTTAAGCAAAACGAGGCCCTTCCCCTTTCTTTAAGTGCTCTGCCTGCCTGGAGCGCTAGTGACAAAGGCGGCTCAGGTCACGGGGTGTGGGAGAGCTCTTCATAGGGCGCTTCCTACCATTTGTAACACCCACTTTCTTCCAAAAGAAAACAGAACCATCATCGAGAACTGTCTCTGGAAACTAAGTTTGCAAAAACTTACATCAACGCAAACGGGAGTGCTAGGCAACGATCACATGCAGAAGGAACCCAGAAACTTCACTTGCTGAGGAGACACCAAGAAACCCCACAAATACATCTGCCAGTTCAGCCCCTAGGACACACACGCCGCGGCGCTTCACTCGTACTGTGAACACATCGGGACGGACGGACGGACTGAACGCCGCGGGGCTGACACCGGGTCCTCCCGGCCGAGGGCAGCCCACGGCCCCGCCCCCACCCTTCTCTCGTCGCCATCTTGGACGCCACCACCCCATCGCGGAGCTTCGGGAGCCAGGTTTTGAACTCCCGGAAGCACGGCCCGGCCTCCTAGCAACGCACTGTCTTTTGACAAGGCAAACGCCAGACGCACCGCCCAGGTCGCCCCTTCCGCAGCCCCAGATCTGTGGACGCCGAAGGGACGATCGTCCTCCCAGACACGAGGCGCGCCCGTTTCAGGGCCACAAACGTTTCTGCTCTTACCAAGTGGTGGGGCACGAGCCCCGCCGGCCAGAGTCCCCCAGGGGGCTGAAGGACTCCTCTTTCACCCTGACACCAACATTCAGGGGCGCAGAATCCACCCCAGAGCTTGGGAAGCAGCATCTGGACAGCCTCAAAGCACAAAATTCCGACTCAAGATGGCGGCGTGGGCGGCTGGCACACGCGCAGAAGGAACACGGGACAGCGCGGCAGGGGCCTGCGCCCGAGGCCTCAGCGCAGGGGACTACACTTCCCACAAAGCTCCGCGCCAGCCTCTCCGAACCGACGCCCGCGATTGCGCCGTTTCTTTTCTTATTTTTACTTTTTGTTGTTGTTGTTGAGAAGTTTGGCTGTAGGGCGCATGCGCTCGATAGAAAGCCAGCGAGCGAGAGAGAGACAGAGAGATAGAAAGCGAGAAATCACTCCCCGGGGGGATGGCCACACCGCAATCCCTTCTCCTCCATTCTCCTCTCGGGATCTTGGGCATGCACGCACACACGCCCTGCGTGAGTTTAAGCCACCGGGTCCGGGACTTGAACCGCGGTGGGCTACATGGGAGTTCAGCAACATAGCCATTACACTAACTGCTGGTTTCTCGCCGTTTCTTTCCCGCGGCTCCCAGCAGGTTGGAGCTCTATGGTCTGTTACTGGTCTCTACTTATTATAAATTCTCGGTTAGCATCTTGGTAGTTTTGGGTGGATTGCGGAAATTGGAGTGTGGCAATTGGAGTGTGGCCGAACCAGTGATGGTACCTTTATTTGTCTTGTAGTGTTGCCCTAGGGTGTGGAGACACAGGGAAGGGGAGATCGTCCCTCCTAAAGGACAAGGCCAAGCGGCAATCCCTCCTCAGTCTGCACTTGGGATTTGGGGCTTGCTGCTGGGTCAGGCACTCCGGTTGTAAAGTTGGCCATGTGCGACCCAGTCGCCTTGACAATCATGCTACCGCCTGGCCAGAACTAGTGATGACAGTAATGCTTAGCTTTATTTATTCATTTAAGTTTGATTAGAAGTATTGCCATTACAGACCTCTTCTAAAGTGTGAAAAGTGATGACTCTATTTTACTTTTGATTTCCCTTTTTTTTTTTTTTTTTTTGGAGGGTTTTTGGTT